TGTCTGGTTTGGTAACATGGTGTATTAGTATGCTAGGGCTGCCATGCAAAGTAATAGAGACTAGTAACAAATTTTCTCACAGTTATGGAGGCTAGAAGTCCTAAGATAAGGGTGTTGATAGGGTTGGTTTCTTTTCAGGCAGGAGAAATAATGTGAATAGTAGGAATTCCAGAAGGAGAAAAAGAAACAGATGGAGGCAGCAAGAGAAACGATAAAGCATAGAAGTGAATTTTCCAGGCTTAAGATCCCTGTAGTTCCCATTAGGATATTGTGAAAAGACACAGCACAGGCGTGTGTTGGTAAAACTCCTAAGTTTAAAGTATAGCGGAAACTGCTTTGGAAAAAGTATGTCGTGCAAATCTCTTATCTTCTCCCCCATTGTTTCTGTTTTGATGTTTATTCTACTGGATTTTCCTTTCTTTGAATTCATTACTAATTTTTAAATTTGAAACTCGATTTTAGTTCCAGAAAGTTTGTGTTTTTTTTGTTTTTGTTTGTTTTTTTTTTGTAATGGAGTGGTATCTGAAGTTGCTCTTTTTTTTCCTGTTGAAATCATTTTGGTTTTTGTTTAGCACTTCTTGTTCCCTGAAACCTGCCGAAGTCTGAGGTGTGATACGTTATTTCTGAGTGCTGGAGCCCCTCTTCTGTAAATTGTCATGTTCCTTTCCTCTTTCCATCTCTCTGTTCTCCACAATTCTCCCAAGGCAGAATGCAGTGGTCCCCTGGGCAGCACAGCTCAGGGCCAGCAGTTTCAGCTCAGGGCCTGCTGCTTGGAACCTAAGGTGTCATGTTTCCATGGAGGCTTCAGAAAGAATTCCCATCCCAAGGGATGTACCTTCCTCAGGGGGCTGAGGATACCCCACAGGCTTCCTTTCTGTCCAGCTCCAGGGTTTGACTATGCACCTACTTAGGGGCTGCTTGCTCAAGGGAGAGAGGTACAGGAGGTGGTCTGGGAAAAACAAAATTGATCTTCCTATCAATTGTATTTTTGTTTAGTGGAATCTGCACATACCCATTTCTTAGGTAGGCATGGGTATTATTTCCAGTTAGTCCAGGTAATCCAAATAATGACATTTTCCCTCAGTTAAGAACAGATTTTATTTTTAGGAACAGCAGTCTAGTAGCAGTTTTGCTTTTTATTAACATTTTAAGGAACATTTACCTTAGATATCATGATTCTTGAGTCATTTGCAAAATGCAATCAATATCAAATAGCAATGGTTGCTTGTTTTATGATCAGTCAAAAAAAATGTCCCTTACATTAATTTCAATACAAACAGTATATTTAAAATGTAACATTACATTATACTACTCTTGATGCTTTTTAGTAACACATCTTTTGAAAAATGAATGCTGAGGGAAGCAGTGTGTTATCAATACAAACAGTATATTTAAAATGTAACATTACATTATACTACTCTTGATGTTTTTTAGTAACACATCTTTTGAAAAATGAATGCTGAGGGAAGCAGTGTGTTATCCCCCCAGATTTAGCTACAGCAAGTAAGTGAAAGAACCTGATAAGATGGTAATGGAAAACAGCTTTCCTGTTGCAGGCAGATCAGAACAGATGCCCTTTGGTGGATAAAAATGTAGTAATAATGGAGTAAACATTTAAAATGTTAATATATGCTCCATCTGCAGCTTCTCAGTCCTTTTTTTTTTTTTTTGAGATGGAGTCTTGCTCTATTGCCCAGGCTGGTCTCAAACTCTCTTGGGCCCACGTGATCCGCCCGCCTCAGCCTCCCGAAGTGCTGGGATTATAGGCATGAGCCACCGTGCCCGGCCACTTCTCAGTCCTTAATAGCTTTTAGGATAGCTCTGTGTATTGAATTTGGCATGTTGTGTGAATTGGGTTCCATGTGCCCTTGAAAAATTAAGTACAAATGTGTGCGTTGGTGCATTTTTTGTAATGGAATTAGTGTCTTCTATCGTAATTCTTGAGTTCATGTCAGCAGGAAGTACTTTAGAGTCACAATAGGGATTTTATAAAATTGCTGGGTTGGAAGAGACTTTTGAGGCCATTAAGTCCAATTTTCAATATCATTTCCAACAGAAAAGGAAGACATCCATAACAAATAGGTCTATGATCTGCTCACATACTACATACCATGATGGGGAATTTTTGCCCCCAAGACCCATCTTGTGCTTCTCATGTGGTGAACAGACGTGAGCAGCAGCAGCAGCTAAATTTCTTCAATCGAAAGAATTCACCACGAAATAAGAATATGAATACAAAGCATCCAGCACCAAAATGTATCCTAGTAAAGGGCTTTGGTAAAAAATATAAATAATTTGAACAAGTATGCAGAGGGGAAATAATGTAGAGAAGGAAAAAAGAATAATGGGCTTTTAACTTGTCTTTTTTTCCCCCTCATTTTTATTTTTCCTATATAGAGATGGATGGGGGGTCTCACTATATTGCCCAGGCTGGTCTCAAACTCTCTTGGGCTCAAGTGATCCTCCCACCTCGGCCCCCCAAAGTGCTGGGATTACAGGCTTGAGCCACTGCTCCTGGCCAGCTTCTACTTTAAACCTCAGCTATTTATCAAGGAAAAAAGAATTTCCCTTCTTTCTACATGAAATTCATCACTCAGTGTTCCCACTCACCCATGCTCCTGTTTAAATGTCACTTCCTCAGAACCCCAATCTGAGCTAATCCCTATTTTCTATTTTTTGTTCATTCCAAAATTTGTCGTCAAATATTTGTACATTTCTTGATTTCCTACTCCACTGTTACTGGACCCACCAAGGCAGGAACTGTGTCTCTTTACCACTATAGTTCCTGCATCTTTTAGGTGCGCAGTATTTCTTGGTGAGTCAATCAATTTCCAGATTGTCATTTTTCTCTACATTACTCAAATCCTTTCACATTCTTCAATTCCCAGCAGTCTTCCTAGACTTGTTTCATTCCTTCCCATCTTATCTCTATGTATCTATTCCCACCATTCATTTTCCAGATAGCATCTAGACTGTTAAAAAGCAAAACTGCAATCACACCACATTCCATTAAATGCCTTCCCACTGGCCTTTGAACAGCAAACCAGGCCTTTAAGGCTATGTCATCTCCTACCATTGATCTCAGACCTAGCTGCAGTTGCACAGTAAGACCCCTGGCACACGTTGTTCCCTCACAGGCAGGAACCCTATGGTGACTGATCAATAATTAAAACTTGCCTTGGGCCAGGCACAGTGACTCACCCCTATAATCCCAGCACTTTGGGAGGCCAAGGTGGATCAGTTGAGCCCAGGAGTTACAGACCAGTCTAGGCATCATAGAGAGATCTTGTCTCTACTAAAAAAGGAAAAAATTAGCCTGGCTTGGTGGCATGCAACTGTAGTCCCAGCTGCTTTGGGGAGGCTAAGGTGGGAAGATCACTTGAGCCCAGGATGTTGAGGCTAATGTGCCTGTCACCCAGATTCAACAGTTATTCTCCATCTCCCCACCTACTACTTTGTGGACAACTTCAAACAAATCCAAGCCATCACAGATATTTCAAGATGGATTTCTAAAACTTAATTGCTTTATTTTATAACATAACCATAATTCTGTGGGTTCTTTTATCTGGAACTATTCTGAGGAAGGACTGGCTCATTTGTCCTTGTAGTTTCTACATCACTATATGCAGTATGTTACTGTTCCCTGTAATTGCTGTCATCTAGTAAGTGCATTGTAAAGACTTGTTTTCTCTCACTTTTACAGACAGTTATATTAGCCCGGCGTGGTTGCATGCCTGTGGGCCCAGCTACTCAGGATGCTGAGGTTGGAGGCTCACTTGAGCCTGGAAGATTGAAGCTGCAGTGAGCCAAGATCGTGCCACTGCATTCCAGCCTGAGCAACTGAGTCGGACCCCGTCTCAAAATAATTCTGTTAAAAATGTCAAACAGGCCGGGGTGCGGTGGCTCACGCCTGTGATCCCAGCATTTTGAGAGGCCGAGGTGGGTGGATCACAAGGTCAAGAGTTCGAGACCAGCCTGACCAACATGGTGAAACCCTGTCTCTACGAAAAATACAAAAATTAGCCAGGCGTGGTAGCGTGTCCCTGTAAGCCCAGCTACTCAAGAGGCTGAGGCAGGAGAATCGCTTGAACCTGGGAGGGGAGGTTGCAGTGAGCCGAGATCGCACCACTGCACTACAGCCTGGGGGACAGAGTGAGACACTGTCTCAAAAAAAAAAAAAAAACAAAAACCATCAAACAGGCGGGGCAGGGGGCTGGCGCCTGTAATTCCAGCCCTTTGGGAGGCCGAGGCAGGGGGATCACGAGGTCAAGAGATCAAGACCAGCCTAGCCAACATGGTGAAACCTCATCTCTATTAAAAATACAAAAAGTAGCTGGTACAGTGGCATGGGCCTATAGTCCTAGCTACTCGGGAGGCTGAGGCAGGAGAATCGCCTGAACCCAGGAGGCGGAGGTTGCAGTGAGCCGAGATCATGCCACTGCACTCCAGCTTGGGCGACAGAGTGAAGACTATCTCAAAAAAAAAAAAAAAACTAAAAACCAAAAAAAGTCAAACATACACAAAAGTAGAAACAAGTGTAATGAAACTGCATCAGGAGCTTTAATAATTACTAGCTCATAGCACATCTTGTTTCATGTGTATTTCCACTTTCCAAGTAATCTGAAACATTCGAGAAATCAGTTATCTGCAAATATTTGTGGCTCTAAAAAGGGTCTTTTAAGGAAATAAAATTACAGCATAATTACAACAAAATTTATAATTCCGTAATATAAAATGTCACTGTTCATATCATCGAAATTGCTTTATAATTGTTCTCCAGTTCATTTGAATTAAGATTCAGAGGGCCACAAAATTGCGTGGTTAAAAGTTTTAGAAATTGCGTTCTAAAAATTGTTTTTCAAAGATTTTTTTTCAAAATCTTTTACGTGTATCCACGGTCAAATGTACAAACCAAGGCACCTCCTCTAGTTCGAATTTAGAGGCAGCCTCCCGGAGGAAGGCTGTGTCTAACTTGCTGGCTTCTCTTCCACTCTGCAGTGGCCGCCCCTCCCCCGTGGCTGGCACTCTGGACTTTCCCCCGGTCGCGCTCGCGCCCAGCTCCCTTCGGGAGAACTCGGAGAACTACCTTCCCGCCGCCCTGACTCTCCTTCCCCCACTTCCTGCCTGGACCCAGCGCGCGGGCCGCGGGGCCGCACCTGCAGGCACGCGTTTCCCATTGGTGACATCTTGGCGGGCCCGGCGGTGGCACTTCCTCCTCTACACCCCGTGACCCACGTCCGGCTGCCGGTCTTGAATCACGAGGCCTCCGCTTCCCGGACTCCGGACCCCGCGCCGCCTCGGGGCCGACGGCCCGTCCCTGGCGTGGTGAGCCGCTGCGCGGGCGCACCAGCCCCGCCACTCCAGCCCGGGCCGCCCCCCAGGTCCCTTTCCGCCGCCCTGGTCGCCCAGAGACGGACCCAGACCTAGGAGCGCCTCTTCCTTCCCTCCCCTCAGCCCCGCTCGGACCGTGGGTCCCGGAGGTCCCGCCCAGGCAGGCTAGCTCGGCGGGCCGGGGAAACAGCCCCCACCCCACCTCGCCGTCGCCCTCACCCTCAGGGCCCCGGAAGCCCGCCAGGCGCCCCCTCCCCTCCCCCTCCCGCAGGGCGCCTTTCCCTCCGTGAGTCCTCCAGTCCCTGCCCCCCCCCGCCCCGCTTGCTCCGCCCCCCGCCCGGAAGCTCCCGCCCGAGCCCGCGCAGGCCCTGGGGCCGACCTTCCTGCCGGGCCGGGCGGTCCGAGGCTGCCGGAGCGCTGGGAGGAGGCCGCGGGAACGTCGCCGTCACCTTCTCTCGGGTCCTAGGCGCTGCTTCCCGCCAAAACACGCTTATCGCGCGTCCGGGCCTCCCACCTCGCGGAAGGGGCTCCCCACCACTTGGATTTCTGTTGCAGGTTGAGAACAAAAAGATGCACCTGGACTTTCCCCGGAGCCCTCTGCGTGGTTGAGCTTCGGTGGAATTTCGGGGCTCTTGGCTGCCAGCCGCGCTTGCCTGGTAGCAACAGAAACCAGTCCCGCTCGCCTCCGTGGTAAGTCTTAGAGCATGAAAGTCCGTGGGCCCGACCGGGTGGACTTTGGTTTGAGTGTGTAACTGAGTAATGGGGGCGGCGCGGCCGAACGCGCTCCCAGCCGCCTAGCGAGAATGCTACCCGGTTTCCCGGGGAGCACGGGAGTGTGTCTAGGAGGGGAGGCCAGGGTTCCTCCTCGAGTCCTGTCCTGAACAAAAGAAAACAAGGTGGGTGGTGCTTGAACGGCCCTGTTTACTCTGCAGATAGCCAGACTAGTAGGACTCCGGCGCGCCCTGTTTATCTTGATTGGCTCTGCCTGAAGGCAAGCGTTAATCCCGTCCAACCTGTATCACAGCGAAGAGCTCGTTCGAGAGCGCTTTTTGGAAATGGAGATTCTTAGCCCCCACCCAGATCTGTTTTAGGGTCGCTGTTTTAATTATCTAGGTAGACCGCGTGCAAGCTTGCTCGGAAAACCTCCCTGTCCAGTCACCTGGGGGAGCTGAGCAGCCCTCCCCGCCCCCAGCGGTTTCCTGGCTCTGAGGGCGGGGAGACCAGACTCTTCCTCCGCGTGCGTTGGCGGTACGCTATGGCCGTGGTCTACAGGCTCACAGCGACTGGTCCATTGGGGTAAATGGGTGTACGTGGGTCTGGCTGCCAGGTTGTGCATGTCCCCAGAGGCCTCAGGGTGTTGGTCTGTGGATCACGCAGGGATAAACTAGGGCAGAAGTGGATCAGATCATTAAGATGACTGGGTTCCACCCTTCAGATCCTTCAACAAGACGATTGTTGAAGCCTTTTGAAAACCTGATTCCAGAGTACTTGAAACTATTTCACCCCTGAATAGGTTTCCTAATAAATGTAATGCTTTTCATTTGTACACCCCCCAAGAGTGTCTTATGTAATAATCACTGGAAGTTTGCAAGACAAGGCAGATGCGATTGTCTTCATTTTAAGACGTCAGGTTCAGCAAAATTAGTTGATTTTACCAATTCCACATTTCCAAAACTCATGCAGCTTAGTTCTCAGAATTCCATAGCTCTCAGTCCGTGTCCTAGTCCTATGGGGCAGCGTTATTACTGGGATGTTGGTGATCTAGTGATTGTGATGTATTTTTTAGTGAAGCATATTTCAAAGAAGTTACCCAATAAAACTGGAAGTGTCTTTTGGATGTGTCTCCACACTGCTTACAGAGGTGTTCCTATAACAATTTCTAGCAAGCACCGTTGCCCCATGCCCGTGCTATCCCAGTGAAAGAGGGGTCTTAAGGTCAAATCCCCTGTGGTTGTCACTTCTCCCCACCCACCTACTTCCCAAGTGCCCTGCCCCTGATGTTTAAATTTCCTCCCAGCACTTAGGGTCCTCAGTGTAGAAACTCAGGAATTGGGCAGAGGCGGGCGGATCACCTGAGGTCAGGCATTCAGGACCAGCCTGGCCAACACAGTGAAATTTCGTTTCTACTAAAAATACAAAAATTAGCTGCGTGTGGTGGCTCACGCTTGTAATACTAGCTACTGAGGCAGGAGAATCTCATCAAGAGTAAATCTAATCAAGATCAATAAGGCCTTTCTCTTTTGTTGTGCTCTGTATTGCCCTGTGAAAAGATAATACTTCCAAAATGCTGTTAGGCGGATGGGGTGTGAGATTTAATTTAAACCCAGGCGCTATGTAAAGGGCTTCCCAGCTATATCCTGTCCTTACCTGGAGTTCTGATCCCAGAGCCAGTGCCCAGGATCTTGAGACCATACAGCCAGTATCGCTCTGTTTTTTTAGGACAGTTCATTACCATCCAGAAGTGTCTCCCACTGAAGGCATCCGCGGTTGTTTTTAAGGTGAGCTATTTTAAGAAGAGCCCTTTTTCAGCTGCAGTATTTATATTTGTTATACTCAAATTTGCTTAGCAGCCTGGAGTGAAAAAAGTTTTGTCACAAACTTTAACCTTGAGCAGGACACCACAGGGCTCTTTTCAGCTTGAGTTTTAGTTAATGAAAAGCCTTAGGACTTCTGAGAAATGGAAAAGAAAACCAATTCTGGAGTAAAAATAAGCAGTAAGTGTTTTAAGTGGTGTGTACACATGTGTTTTGGAAAGGAATGGTCTCTTCACTTTGTCTTCAGAGAGGAAGTCATTCTGCTTCTGAAACATTTCCTGGTGCAAAACACGACATGTAAGAGATTAGGCATTTTAAGTAATTCTTCTATGAAATGTGTTTTTTTGTTTTTGTTTTTTGATGCTACTTGTGTGTCTTTTTCAGCCTAGCCAGGCAGGCTACTGCATTCTTGAGGAAGGTGTTGACCCCCCTGCACATGGGCAGCAGTTAATCCTGGCTAATCTTGGGCCAGCTGGGTCAAGCCTGTACTGAGGATGGGGTCATGGTGACCAACAAAACAGGCACAAGTGTCTCCCCAATAGGCTCCCATTGTGGGTTTGAGGACCCCTTTAACAACACAGCAAGAGTGCTGTGGTAGTGTAGAGCATGAGACAATTTGGATAATGTGAAGACATTTGAGAAAGGTGTATTTGAGCTTAGACCTTAAGGATTAGTGGGATTTAGGTAGACAGAAGGTTGAACAGGGTATATTTGGGGAGAGAATTAACCATGAGTGTCAACTATGTGCGTCACTGAAGGAGCAGAGAGCTTGGCACATTCCAGGAGAAAAAAGGAAGTGAAGTGAACTTAGGTAGAAGAGTGTTGCAGGCAGAAGTTGCAAGGCCTGAGGCACCCAACTGAGCCAGTGGTCCTTGTTCTGAGGTCCATGGGAAACCACTGAGGACTTGGAAGCAGGACAGTGATTAGTTTTAAAAGTACACCTGAGCTGTAGATGGGATTGCAGTAAGGCTTAGCCAGTATGCTTGGAAAACGTTTTTTTGTTGTTGTTGTTTTTTGTTTTGTTTTGTTTTGTTTTTTGTGGAGATGGAGTTTTGCTCCTGTTGCCCAGGCTGGAGTGCAATGATGCGATCTTGGCTCACTGCGACCTCTGCCTCCTGGGTTCAAGCGATTCTCCTGCCTTAGCCTTTCTGAGTAGCTGGGATTACAGGCATGCACCACCACGCCTGGCTAATTTTGCATTTTTAGTAGAGATGAGGTGTCTCCTTGTTGATCAGGCCGGCCTTGAACTCCTGAATTCAGGTGACCCGCCCGCCTCCCAAAGTGCTGGGGATTACAGGCCTATGCTTGGAATACTTTAAAAGAGATCAGTAGTCTGGAATTGGCTGTTTGTTCATACAGGAATTAGAATAGGAGAAATACAGTATGAGATAAAATGACAATTTGATAACTCACAAAGAAGAGAATTACTGAGTTCATAGGCTGCCATTACAATGTGTTAGGAACAGCGTAGAGCTATGAGGCACCTTTATTGCTGAAGAAATCAAGGAGTTGAATAGGATTTAGGGATGAGGATACTGTGGAGAATGGGATCACCCAAGGGAGTTGATGAGTTGATTGGATTTGAGGGCTTGAGAGAAGGTCAGGGATTACTCCAGTTTCCTTCTAGGATCTCTGGGTGCAGATAGGGGCAGTCATGCTGCTATTGGAGTGTGACAGAAGAGAGAATGTGAGGTTCAGTTGTGGCACAGAGGAGAACCTGTGGAGTAGAGTTGTATCTACCCGTCTGGGCTTCAGGGAGCCAAAGACTGGAGGCTTGCATATCTCCTGACCCTGGAGATGATTATGGAGACCCTGGGAGCAGGTGGGGCCACTGAGAAGAGGACTGGGCCCAAGCCCAATTCCCTATGGTTAAGGAAGGACTCAGAGACTAAGAGTGTCTAAGGAATTAACTGGAAAACCAAGAGTAATTGCCAACAGGGAGTGAAAGGGAGAGGATTTCCGGGAAGAAATGGTTAAGATGAAGATGAAAACATTCGCTCTTTTTCTTGCCGTGAAGATCTGTATGGTAGGATCATGTAGGGTTTTTTTGTTTGTTTTTTACACAAGTCTCACTCTTGTCACCTAGGCTGCAGTGCAGTGGCACGATCTGGACGATCTCAGCTCACTGCAACCTCTGCCTTCCAGGTTCAAGCGATTCTCCTGCTTCCGCATCCGGAGTAGCTGGGATTACAGGTGCCTGCCACCATGCCCGGCTAAATTAATTCATTTATTTATTTATTTATTTTTGACAGAGCCTTGCTGTTTCGCCCAGGCTGGAGTTCAGTGACGCAATCTTGGCTCACTGCAAACTCTGCCTCCCGGGTTCATGCCATTCTCCTGCCTCAGCCTCCCGAGTAGCTGGGACTACAGGCGCCCGCCACCACACCTGGCTAATTTTTTGTATTTTTAGTAGAGACGGGGTTTCACTATGTTGGCTAGGCTGGTCTGGAACTCCTGACCTCAAGTGATCTGCCTGCCTTAGCCACCCAAAGTGTTGGGATTAAAGTCGTCAGCCACTGCGCTCAGCATAGGTGTCCACCACTATGCTCAGCTAATTTTGTATTTTTGGTAGAGGCAGGATTTCACCATTTTGGTCAGGCTGGTCTTGAACTCCTGACTCTGGTGAGCCACCACTCTTGACCTTGATCGTGCAGTTTTTTTTTTTTGTTTTTTTGTTTTTTTGTTTTTTTTTTGAGACGGAGTCTCGCTTTGCCGCCCAGGCTGGAGTGCAGTGGCCGGATCTCAGCTCACTGCAAGCTCCGCCTCCCGGGTTCCCGCCATTCTCCTGCCTCAGCCTCCGGAGTAGCTGGGACTACAGGCGCCCACCATCTCGCCCGGCTAGTTTTTGTATTTTTTAGTAGAGACGGGGTTTCACCGTGTTAGCCAGGATGGTCTCGATCTCCTGACCTCGTGATCCACCCGTCTCGGCCTCCCAAAGTGCTGGGATTACAGGCTTGAGCCACCGCGCCCGGCCGATCGTGCAGTTTTAATGGTGGGGAGTAGAAGTGACAGTAGAGACCTTTTGACAAGATTTTACTAAACAAATCAACAAGTAGCTAGAGACAAAGTTGGCGCAGGGGAGGTATGACATGATTGGGTAGAACTGAGCATGTTTAATTACCAAGTAGACAGTGCTCAGTGGAGAAAGGGGAAAGAAAGAAAAAAGCATGGACCCCGACGTATGTGAGGTTGGACCCAGAGCAGGGCTGTTCATAATGTCCGCTGTAAGGGACCCACTACTTGATTACAAACTCCTAGACTCTGACTTGACTTCACAAAGTCCACTTCCTAGAGTAATGTCGACCAGCTGGAGAGGAGGTGAGAATCTGTAAGGCTGCCCCAGACATCTGAAGGGCTTTGGACAAGCAGGGTGCTGGGGTAGGACAGTGGGCGATATTGATGGCCTGCTTACTCTTAAGGCTGTTCACTCTGATTTTCTTTTTTTTTTTTTTTTCTTCTTGTGGGGTGGGTGTTTTGTTTTGTTTTGTTTTTGTGGAGTCAAGATTCTCACTCTGTCACCTGGGCTCGAGTGCAGTGGTGTGATCTCCACTCTGAAAACTCCGCTTCCTGGTTTTCTCTCACCTCAGCCTCCTGAGTGGCTGGGACTACAGGCGCCCACCACCACATCCAGGTAATTCTTTTTTGAGACGGAGTCTCACTCTGTCGCCCAGGCTGGAGTGCAGTGATGTGATCTTGGCTCACTGAAACCTCTGCCTCCCAGGTTCAAGCGATGCTCCTGCCTCAACCTCCCAAGTAGCTGGGACTACAGGCACCCGCCACCACGCCCGGCTAATTTTTTGTATTTTTAGTCGAGACAGGGTTTCACCGCGTTAGCCAGGATGGTCTTGATCTCCTGACCTCGTGATCCACCTACCTCGGCCTCCCAAAGTGCTGGGATTACAGGCATGAGCCACCACACCCAGTCTAGTGTTTTGTATTTTTAGTTGAGGCACAGTTTTGTCTATTGGCCAGGCTGGTCTGGAACTCGTGACCTCAAATGATCCCACCCACCTTGGCCTCCCAAAGTGCTAGGATTATAGGTTGGAGCCACTGTGCCCGGCCTCACCCTGATTTTCTATGGTATTTGACAACTTGAGGGCAGCATTAGCCACCAGAGAGCATTTGGGAATGTCTGGAGACATTTGGTTGTCAGAACAGGAGGTGGAGGGTCCTGCTGGCATCTAGTGGGCAGAGACCAGGCATGCAGCTAAACATCCTACAGTGCCTGGGCCTGCCCCCAGACCACAAAGAACTGTCTGGTCCAAAATGTCAGTAGTCCTGAGGCTGAGAAATCGTAGCCTAGAGGCACCATTTGGCCTGTCTGTGTGCAGCTGAGCCACTCAATACATCCATGGAGTAGTCAGATATTTGTTTGGAATCTTACAGAGAGCTCTGGTTTTACTGGGTGCGTACAGTTAAGGAAGAAGTTCATTGAATGAATTCCATGTATTGTGAGGAAGGAACGTAAAATGATACTTGCTCTAAGCTGGATTATGAAGAATGAGGAGAGAATGAGAGGCTGTGTGGATAAGGAAGCCAGGGTCCCTACAAAGGAGGGGGATAGCAGTTGTGGTGGAGGGAGGAGGATGTGATTAGGATGGGGTTTCCTGCAGGGAATGGTGAAATCATTGGAGGTGTAGGGTCCCGGAGAAAATGGTTAGTGGATTATGGCTTCATCTCCCCCACCCAGAATGATGGCTGGACCGAAGGCTGGGAACAGAACTTGAGGGAGGCCTTCAGATACTTTCCATGTTTGAGGAGCAAGACCAGGGTATGGTCAAAAACAAAAGGACAGGTGGTGCCTAGGGTGTTAGGAATGGAATTGCATAAGGAGCCCCCACCTGTAATTGTGCGATCCCGGACCCATTATCCCAAGAGACACGATGCAAACTTGCCCTGACTTTCCAAGGAGGAGCTTCTGAGCTGTTAGCACAGAATTCCCTCCATGGGCAGGAGAGGAAGAAGCTGCTGTGACCTTGCTCTGCCAGGTCAGCATGTTGCCGTGGCCATGTGCTGCTGCAGGGGATTTAGGTAAGGCCTGGGGAGGCAGGGACCATTACATTCTAAGGTGGAGGCTAAACCCCGGTGTTTATTGCAGACCCAAAGCACAGTTTGAGAATTGGAGATAGGATTATTTATGCCCAATCCTTTGCCCTTCAGGATTATTTTATAAAAGTTGATTGAGTTGATGTACATAGTCAATACATTTGAGGTAGGCAATGAGCAATCCTGGTTAAGCTCCCCTTGACTCTTGTCCCAGAGGCTTCCATGTTCCACTCATTAGCAAGGGTGACGTCTTTTACTTAGGCTGTAAACTTTCAAAGCCCTTGCATGCCAAGTCACAGTTCATGAGTAAATGCCGGGTATTTGGTCTTGGTGATGTGTTCAGGATATCACATACTGTTCTGTTTCATTTGTGTCATTATGCTTGTTATTGGGAGAGGAGACATGTCTTGTTATCTTTATAATCTGGTGTAGACACAGGCAAATTTAAAAGATTTACACAATTACCCTTTTAGACATTGTCAATTTGAAATAACGAAGCACTGTATGATAAATGTCATCTGCAATGGCTACATCAAACTTTAAAATTACTAATATGATCAGTCAAAATGGTAACTACTTGTTACTAATTTAGTTTTCCCTGAAGCTAGTGCAGTTGAGCATTTCATTTATTATGAATTTGCTTTTCCTTTTCTTAAGTTGCACTAACCTATACTTTTTGTCTGTTTTTTAAATTGTGGGGTTTTTTAAATGGAGCATTTTTCCCCACATGATGAGCCCATATTGCTTGAAAAGACTAGCAGCTTGTACCTATTATACTTGATGTAAAATGACACTTTGAAACATTAGATTTCCAGCTGTGCATGGTGGCTCATGCCTGTGATCCCAGCACTTTGGGCAGCTAAGGCGGGCGGATCACCTGAGGTCAGGAATTAAAGACCAGCCTGGCCAACATGGTGAAACCCTGTATCTACTCAAAATACAAAAAATTAGCTGGGTGTGGTGGCCTGTAATCCCAGCTACTCAGGAGATTGAGACAGGAGAATTTCTTGAACCTGGGAGGCGGAGGTTGCAGTGAGCTGAGATTGTGCCATTACATTCCAGCCTGGGTGGCAGATTGAGACTGTCTCAAAACAAAAACAAAAAAAATTATCTGGGTATGGTGGCACACACCTGTGTAATCCCAGCTACTCGCAAGTCTGAGGGGAGAGAACCACTGGAACCTGGGAGGTGGAGGTTGCAGTGAGATGAGATCCGCCACTGCACTCCAGCCTGGGAGACAGAGCAAGACTCCGTCTCCAAAAAAAAAAAAAGCTGGGGGGAGTGGATCACCTGAGGTTGGGAGTTAGAGACCAGCCTGACCAACACGGAGAAACCCCGTCTCTACTAAAAAAAAAAAAATTAGCTTGGCGTGCATGCCTGTAATCCCAGCTACTCGGGAGGCTGAGGCAGGAAAATCACTTGAACTAGGGAGGCGGAGGTTGCAGTGAGCCAAGATCGTGCCACTGCACTCCATCCTGGGCAACAAGAGTGAAACTCTGTCTCAAAAAAAAAAAAAAAAAAGATTTCCATATACTCCTGTGCTCATTTTGAGCATCATCTTTGACATTGTTCATATAAAAATATGTCTTCGGCACCATAATACTGCAGTATTTTTCTTGCTTATGGCTGGCTATGCTGTATACCCTGGCGTCTGGGTCAGCTGCTGCTCTTTCTCAGAAGACTGCCTTCTAGTGTGTAGTTGGCCTTATTCTTTGAGTTTGGACTTCCAAGTGCCATGTACCACCCTGGTGGGAAGGGCATTTCTCAGCCCTCTTGCGATTGCCCTTTCTTCCCGGTGCCCTTTTCCAGATCTTAAGCAAAAGACAGCAATTCTGCTATATTTTATGTGAACTGGTGAATCTGGTATTTAGTTTGAATTGACGATTTGGGAGCAAAATCATACCTCTGTAGACACTGTAAGCCATTACTGTCTTGTATCCTGGCAACATTACTGCCGATGAGAAAATTAGAAAATCTTACCCTATGTTGTGGTTTAAAAACAGCCTGCTATGTTCCCATCCCTTCTCATGAAAGTAAAAGTATCCTACCATAAACAATCAAATTTACTAAATTTACTGTTTAACCAAATGTAAGGCCTATAGTTTAGGAAGAACTGAGGTGCTCTTATAAGTGAACTGCCACATAATTATCATGACAAACGTGGAATAAATATAACAAGGAAATGCGCTTGCTCTCACCTGACTGAAATTTACATTTCTCTGTTTTCAAGGCACCACATTCACATGCATCGTCCTGTCTTGTAAACTCCTGATTTTTTTCAAACTGCCTATGACTGATCATGTAATTTTTTGAGAAACCTGGAGTTAAATCTTAGCTCTCAATTGTATTTGGTATATTTCTTAATGTCTTGCTACCTCTCTCATCTGTAAAATGGGGAAATTTTCTGTTGCATACTTTTGTTGTGCATATTAAATAAATTTGTCTTTTTTTTTTTTTTCCAGCCACAAAAAAGCCACACCCAAGATCACCTGACACCCACCCTGTCAAGTGTCCATGATGCTGGGCCCTGAGGGAGGTGAAGGCTTTGTGGTCAAGCTCCGTGGCCTGCCCTGGTCCTGCTCTGTTGAGGACGTGCAGAACTTCCTCTCTGACTGCACGATTCATGATGGGGCCGCAGGTGTCCATTTCATCTATACTAGAGAGGGCAGGCAGAGTGGTGAGGCTTTTGTTGAACTTGGATCAGAAGATGATGTAAAAATGGCCCTGAAAAAAGACAGGGAAAGCATGGGACACCGGTACATTGAGGTGTTCAAGTCCCACAGAACCGAGATGGATTGGGTGTTGAAGCACAGCGGTCCCAACAGTGCCGACAGCGCCAACGATGGCTTCGTGCGGCTTCGAGGACTCCCATTTGGATGCACAAAGGAAGAAATTGTTCAGTTCTTCTCAGGGTTGGAAATCGTGCCAAACGGGATCACATTGCCTGTGGACCCCGAAGGCAAGATTACAGGGGAAGCGTTCGTGCAGTTTGCCTCGCAGGAGTTAGCTGAGAAGGCTCTAGGGAAGCACAAGGAGAGGATAGGGCACAGGTACATCGAGGTGTTTAAGAGCAGCCAGGAGGAAGTTAGGTCATACTCAGATCCCCCTCTGAAGTTCATGTCCGTGCAGCGGCCAGGGCCCTATGACCGGCCCGGGACTGCCAGGAGGTATATTGGCATCGTCAAGCAGGCAGGCCTGGAGAGGATGAGGCCCGGTGCCTACAGCACAGGCTACGGGGGCTACGAGGAGTACAGTGGCCTCAGTGATGGCTACGGCTTCACCACCGACCTGTTCGGGAGAGATCTCAGCTACTGTCTCTCCGGAATGTATGACCACAGATACGGCGACAGTGAGTTCACAGTGCAGAGCACCACAGGCCACTGTGTCCACATGAGGGGTCTGCCGTACAAAGCGACCGAGAACGACATTTACAACTTCTTCTCTCCTCTCAACCCTGTGAGAGTCCATATTGAGATCGGCCCAGATGGAAGAGTGACGGGCGAAGCAGATGTTGAGTTTGCTACTCATGAAGAAGCTGTGGCAGCTATGTCCAAAGACAGGGCCAATATGCAGCACAGATACATAGAACTCTTCTTGAATTCAACAACAGGGGCCAGCAATGGGGCGTATAGCAGCCAGGTGATGCAAGGCATGGGGGTGTCTGCTGCCCAGGCCACTGAAAGTGGCCTGGAGAGCCAGTCAGTGAGTGGCTGTTACGGGGCCGGCTATAGTGGGCAGAACAGCATGGGTGGCTATGACTAGTTTTGTTAGGAACATTTGAGTTATTTCAATCAAATTTTCACAGGCAGCCAACAAGCAGTTAAGAGCAGTTATAATAAGAGGAAGCTGGGGGACCCATTTTGCACCATGAGTTTGTGAAATCTGGATTTAAAAATTACCTCTTCAGTGTTTTCTCATGCAAAATTTTCTTCTAGCATGTGATAATGAGTAAACTAAAACTATTTTCAGCTTTTCTCAATTAACATTTTGGTAGTATACTTCAGAGTGATGTTATCCGAGTTTAAGTAGTTTAAGTATGTTAAATGTGGATCTTTTACACCACATCACAGTGAACACACTGGGGAGACGTGCTTTTTTGGAAAACTCAAAGGTGCTAGCTCCCTGATTCAAAGAAATATTTCTCATGTTTGTTCATTCTAGTTTATATTTTCATTTAAGATCCTTTAGGTTAAGTTTAAGCTTTTTAAAAGTTAGTTTTGAGAATTGAGACACAATACTAATACTGTAGGAATTGGTGAGGCCTTGACTTAAAACTTTCTTTGTACTGTGATTTCCTTTTGGGTGTATTTTGCTAAGTGAAACTTGTTAAATTTTTTGTTAACTAAATTTTTTTCTTAAAATAAAGACTTTTTCACAATGACTGGCACAGATTATCTACTCAGCAAAAGATAGCAAAATGGGTTGAAGATAATTCATTTTAATCGTAATGTATTTTAGTGTGAATTTAAAAATTTCATACATCAAATCTATGATCTCCCTTATATTCTTATGATGAGGCTAAATAAAAGTCTAATAAAAATGTTAAATATGTGAATGGTGGAAATGGTGACTAGCAGCACACATTCCGGGAAGCATCAAATAGACACACAGCCCCAGCCACTGGCAACTTACGTGCACTGTTCTAAACCATTCGGAATTTCCTGCTGGGCCCTTGATGCTGGAGTCACATCTGTTGATAGCGGGAGAGCTTTAGTTTCAAGTGCTACATTGTGAAAGCCATTATTTTGTTTCTAGGTTTTATAAAATGCTGATTTAAATTTTTTTTTTGGTCACTTTCCTGATTTCTGTAGGGTGCATTTATTGATTAGGTTATGGCAGGATACCCGTTACCAAGCTCGAGACCTGTTTTCAAATTGCTACCCACCTAGGCAACAAAGCAGTGTTAAAATTCAGGCAGCTCTACATACAGCATACAGTATTACTATCATTTTAAACCTTATGCTAAATACAAACCATTAGGACTTTAAAATGTAGAGTTTATTTAAAACCATTCTATTCAAAAATGTTTATTTTCCCCCTTTACTAGCTATATAGTGTTAATGATTTTACCAGTATTAAGGGTCTTCATTAGTATCTTAAAGAGTAAATGCTTTTGGTTACACCCCTGAGAGTTGCATTAAAAATTAAGTCTGTGAAGTCTTTAGCCTTTTCTAGCTCCATTGGGCTTCAGAGGCTCAGCTTAGGTACAGTCCTTAGTTCCAGTGTTCTGCATGCTTGGATGGCCTGATGTGAGGGCAGCAGAATCACCAGGAATGGCAGGATACAGGGATGCAGAAGACTGGCATAGGGAAAACCTAGAGAGAACTATCCTTGCTGTAGCCCTGATCCGGGATCTTTGCCTACCCATGGGCCTACCATGCTTCGAGTGTCAGCATTGCATGGGGAAGCAGAGGACTACAGGTGAGGGAAACCCAGAGAAACAGTGAAGTTTCCATTGGAAAACTGGAGTTTCAGCTGGAAACGGGGCTGGAATGCGGTGAAGATGAGACCTCGGATTTTGTAGAGTGGTGGGGAGAGTACCTGCACACCCCTGGAAGTCTGCTAGATTTAGGATGCATGGGTGGAAAGGGCTTCAGGGGATGGGAAAGTGAATGTGTTAGATGACCTGATGTCCCAAGGTAACATGGACAGCAAAACACATCCCCTTGCTCCAGGATTGTTAACTCGGGGAGGAGCAAATCTCTGATTCCCAGGTTGGGTCTAGTGGCATGATGCTGGCTCGCTGCAGTGTCAGCCTCCCGTGCTCAAGTTATCCAGTTGTCCTCCCACCTCAGCCTCCCAAGTAGCTGGGACTGGAGTCCCACACCACTATTCCCAGCTAATTTCTGTATTATTTGTAGAGATGGGGTCTCACTATGTTGCCCAGACTGATCTTGAACTTCTCAGCTCAAGTGATCTGCACTCTTCGGCCTCCCAAAGTTCTAGGATTTCAGGCATGTACCATGGCACCCAGCCAGGCCTACTTCACACAGCCATGCCCATTTGTTAATACGGTCTATGGCTGCCCAGGTGTTACAGCAGGCAGGCAGGTGGGTAGTTGTATCAGAGACCACATGGCCCACAAAACCTAAAATATTTACTGACACTGTTACAGGAAATGTTTTTCAACCTGTGGCCTTGGGCATGACAAGGGCATTCCCTGCAAGGTAAAGGTCAAGATACTGCATCTTGTTATGTTGTAGAACCCCAAATTCAGGCTTGTGTAGCTGATGCCAAACATCGAGACACAGGTGCTTGGAGATAAAGGTTTATTTGATTTGGCCAAGGTGAGAAATCTGCCTTAACAAAAAGAAGCAGCGTGGAGGTTTTGTTTTGTTTTTTATTTTTAGAGATGGGATCTCCCTGTATCACCCAAGCTGGAGTGCAGTGTCTCAAAGTGCTGGTATTACAAGCGTGAGCCACCGCGCACGGCCTCAGCATGGAAGTTTTGACCTCTGTTTTCAACCTGGGCCAGTTCACCCCTCCTTAGGCAACCTAGTGGTCCTCCACTCCTGGGAGGTCATATTGAGGCCGAACTTGCTGCAGATACACAATTGACATAGTACACTATAGCCTCGGCCTTCCAAAGTGCTGGGATTACAGGCATACACCACCATGGCAGGCTTAGGGAGTCTTTACACAGCTAGAGAATAAGGGAGGAGCAGTTTCAGAGAACTAAGGGGGGAGAAATCTATGTTTCTTTAGTCTCACATAGTGTCTTGAATAACCAGACTTCTGGGTGTCTGCAGCTGGTCACAGTGTTTAAAGATACTCATTCGTTCTGCAAAATTTTGTTATGGCCCTGAAGTTAACCCCTCCTTCACAAGGAACAGTATTCCAGCAGTTTATAATTTCATTATGGAAACAAGGAATATTGGGCAAAAAGCGAGTGGTTAACATGTAAGCAAGTAATGACCTGATAAGAATTTTCATTATTTGAGTCACTAAAAATGCCAGGTGTTGAAATCTCAAGGGTCCTGGTTACAGAAACTCATCACTAAGAAAGAGGCATAATTTTGGGTAGTAGTTTTGGATTTTGGAGAAAGCTGCTTTAACACTTGAAAATACCCTGAGGCCTGGCACAGTGGCTCATACCTGTAATGCCAGTGCTTTGGGAGGCTGAGGCAGGTGGATCGCTTGAACTGAGGAGGGTTTTTTGTTTTGTTTTGTTTTGTTTTAAGACAGAGTCTCACTCTTACCCAGCCTGGAGTGCAGTGGTGTGATCTCAGCTCATTGCAACCTCCGCCTCCCTAGTCAAGCGATTCTGCCTTAGCTCCCTGAGTAGCTGGGATTACAGGTGCATGTTGCCACGCCCAGCTAATTTTTGTATTTTTAGTAGAGATGGGGTTTTACCATGTTGGCCAGGCTGGTCTTGAACTCCGTGAGCCACCGCGCCCGGCCTAGTTACCTTTCAAGAAGCAGCCCCTGAGTACTTAGCAGTATGGGAGATAAGTCACCCGCACTAAGACCACCCTCATGATTTGGGCGCTGGCAGATGCATCAAGTCTCAAGGCATCTCAGTTTTATTGTTTTTGTTTTTTTAAAAAGACAGAATCAGGCTGGGAGCGGTGGCTCACACCTATAATCCCAGCACTTTGGGAGGACGAGGCAGGCGGATCGCCTGAGGTCAGGAGTTCCAGACCATCCTGGCCAACATGGTGAAATCCCGTCTCTACTAAAATTACAAAAATTAGCTGGGTGTGGTGGCACACACCTGCAGTCCTAGCTACTCAGGAGGCTTAGGCAGGAGAATGGCTTGAAACCAGGAGGTGGAGAGTGCAGTGAGCCAAGATCAGGCCATTGCACTCCAGCCTGGCGACAGAGTGAGACTCCGTCTTGAAAAAAAAAAAAAAGACAGAATCTTACTCTGTTGCCCATGCTAAAGAGCAGTTGTGAGATCATAGCTCCCTTTTTTTTTTTTTTTTTCTTTTTCTTGAGACCGGGCCTTGCTCTGTCACCCAGGCTTGAATACAATGGCATGATCGCAATCAGAGCTCACTGCAGCCTCAAACTCTCCAGTGGTTCAACTGCTTTATCCTAAGTAGCTGGGACTACAGGCATGTGCCACCACACCCAGCCTAACATTCTTTTTTTCTTTTTTTTGAGACAGAGTCTCACTCTATTGTCCAGGTTGGAATGCAGTGGTGCAGTCTTGGCTCACTGCACCTCTTCCTCCCAGGTTTAAGCGATTCACCTGCTTCAGCCTCCGGAGTAGCTGGGATTATAGGCGCCTGCCACCACGCCTGGCTAATTTTGTATTTTCAGTAGAGACAGGGTTTCAACATGTTGGTCAGGCTGGTCTCGAACTCCTAACCTTAGATGATCCACCCGCCTCAGCTTCCCAAAGTTTTGGGATTACAGGTGTGGGCCACCATGCCAGGTCCTAACATTCTGGAAATAACAAAATTATAGAGATAGAGGACAGTTTAGTGGTTGTCAGAGGTTAGGCCTGGAGGGCCTAAGTAGGGAGGGAAATGGGTTTGGCTATAAAAGAGGAGCATGAGGGATCCTAGTGATGAACTGTTCTAGATCTTGACTGTGGTGGTCACAGGAATCACGGGTGATAAAGTTGCACAGAACTAAACACATGCGCACACAAATGAGTGTTCTAACACTGGTGAAATCTCAGTAAGACCGATGTTTCTAGCAGTTTCAATACTCTGTTGTGATACAGTGTACTATAGTTATACAAGAAGTTGCCACTGGGGGAAACTGGCTTATCTCTCTGTATTATTTTTTACAATTGCATGTGAATCTATAATTATCTTAAATGTAAGGTTTTTTGGTTTTGGTTTGGTTTGGTTTAGTTGAGAAAAAAGAGGCAGGCCAGGTGCTGTGGCTCACCCCTGTAGTCCCAGCACTTTGGGAGGCTGAGGTGGGAGGATTGCTTGAACGCAGGAGTTCCAGACCAGCCTAGGCAACACAGTGAGAGCCCATCTCTACATCAAAAAAATTCGCTGGCCCGGGTGCAGTGACTCATGCCTGTAATCCCAGCACTTTGGGAGGCTGAGGTGGGCAGATCACCTGAGGCTGGGAGTTCAAGACCAGCCTGACCAACATGGAAAAACCCCGTCTCTACTAAAGAAAAAACAAAACAAAATTAGCCAGGCATGGTGGCATATGCCTGTAATCCCAGCTTCACAGGAGGCTGAGGCAGAAGAATCGCTTGAACCCAGGGGGCAGAGGTTGTGGTGAGCCAAGATCGCGCCATTGCACTCCAGCCTGGGCAACAAGAGCGAAATTTCATCTCAAAAATAAAAAAAAAAATTAGCTGGGCATAGTGACACGCGCCTGTGGTCCTAGCTAATCCAGAGGCTAAGGTGGGAAGATTGCTTTAGCCCAGGAGGTTGAGGCTGCCACATGCTACTGTACTCCAGTCTGGGTGAGAGAGTGAGACCCAGTTTTAAGAAATAAATTTTTAAAAAAAGAAAGAAAAGAAAAAATATATAGAAATTTTAAAAAGAGGCCGGGCGCGGTGGCTCAAGCCTGTAATCCCAGCACTTTGGGAGGCCGAGACGGGCGGATCACGAGGTCAGGAGATCGAGACACGGTGAAACCCCGTCTCTACTGAAAAAATACAAAAACTAGCCGGGCGAGATGGCGGGCGCCTGTAGTCCCAGCTACTTGGGAGGCTGAGGCAGGAGAATGGCGGGAACCCGGGAGGCGGAGCTTGCAGTGAGCTGAGATCCGGCCACTGCACTCCAGCCTGGGCAACAGAGCGACCCTCCTCTCAAAAAAAAAAAAAAAAGAAATTTTAAAAAGAGAGCTGGGTGCCATGGCTCATGCCTATATTCCTAGCACTTTGGGAGGTTGAGGTGGGCTGATGGCTTGAGCTCAGGAGTTTGAGACTAGCCTGGACAACATGATGAGACCTCATCTCTACAAAAAATATAGCCATGTGTGGTGGCATGTGCCTGTAGTTCCAGCTACTTGGGAGGCTGAAGTAGAGGTTGTAGTGAGGTTGCACCACTGCACTCCAGCCTAGGTGACAGAGCCAGACCCTGTCTCAGAAAAAAAAGGATTATTTTAAATCAGAATAAGTCCTTTCTCTAGTCCTCAACTTTGGGTTCTGAAACAATAGCACTGAGTTTCTTTTTTTTTTTTTTTTTTTTTTTTTTTTTTTTTTGGCCGAGTCTCACTTATGTTGCTAGGCTGGAGTGCAATGGCACATCTGGCTCACTGCAACCTCACCTCCGGGTTCAATGGATTGCGTCCCGCCTCCAGCCTGCTCTGAGGTAGCCTTGGATTGACGCATGTGCTCAACGCCCATAATTGTATTTTTAATAGAGAACGGGGTTCACCATGTGTGGTCAGGCTGTCCTTGAATCTCCGACCTCAGGTGAATCCGTCCGCATCCCTCAGCCTCTCCAAAGTGCCTGGATTACAGGCTTGAGCCACTGTGCCCAGCAATAGCCTGAGTTCTGATCTCAAACTCACAAGGCCAACTCCCAGGTACAAGAGGGAAAAGATGATCTGAAAGATTAGCAAACTTTTTTTTTTGTGGGGGCAAACTTTTAACCTTGATAATTTGGGGGTGCTAGGTTAGAAGTTGGTTTACCTTGTGAGTAAATGTCTCTGTGATGTTTGTTTTCTTTTCTTTTCTTTTTTCTGGAGACAGAGTCTCGGTCTGTCACCCAGGCTGGAGTGCAGTGGTGCGATCTCGGCTCACTGCAACCTCCACATCCTGGGTTCAAGTGATCCTCCCACCTTAGCCTCCTGAGTAGCTAGGATTACAGGCGTGAGCCACTGCGCCTGGCCGATTTTTGTATTTTTAGTAGTTACAGGGTTTCAACATGTTGGCCAGGCTGGTCCCGAACTCCTGACCTCAAGTGATTCTCCCACCTCAGCTTCCCAAAGTGCTGAGATTACAGGCATGAGCCACTGAGCCCAGCCCTGAAAAATAAAAAGATTTTTAAAATAAAAAAGTGAGGAAGGATGTATAGTCACCCAGCAGCACAGTCCCTGGGCTCTGTCTTTGACAATGATAAACATTGGGAAGGCAACAGGCCCCAGACCTTTGGAAACAGGGCTCAGGAGCAGGACACCTGGGTTGGAGGCTGGCTGTGGAATTTGTTAGCCCATGAGAACCTCTGGGTGCTTCCTCTCCTCTAACCTAACCCTAACCCTAATGTCATCCGCATCTCATAGGTTGCTAGGAAAACTGGACATGTGTGAAGTATTTACAGTGGTGTCTGTCACATAGTAAATCCCCAACTGAGTGGAAATGACCCTTTGCTTTCTCTGGTCCCCCCCCACCTCTCCCCGCAGCCCCTCAACTAGGAGAAGATGACAAGGGGAAATTACCCCCCACCTCCGAAACAGGCCCCAGGAAGGGGTCTCTGAGGCACAGCCAGTAATCCCACAAAGGGAAGCCTGGAGAGCCTGTGTCATGCCCTAGTCAGCCCATTCCTCACTCCCAGAAGGGAGAGAGGAGAGCTCATTTCTGCTGGGAACAAGCAGCCCAACTCCAGGGCCCAGCCTCATCCACCTGGGGCTGACACCGACTCCATCCTCCACTGTCACCCGGGCCTGGCCTCCCATCAGTCTCTGACTCCTCCCATCAGTCTCTGACTCCTCCCATCATGATTTCCCCAGGCTCCATAAGCTAGAGCTGTCACCCTCCACATCGGAGGGATAAGCCTGTCACTGGGCAGTCACACCTAGGGACTCATGTGTGGTGGGGCCTCCTGCATAAGTGGTCACTTACAGGACTTGGGGAAACTGTGGCACCTGTCCAGGAGAAGTTTAAATGAAGCAGCATGAGAGCTTGAAAGCAGAGCAGCAGGTCTCCGCCACGATGTGGCCCCAGGACACAACATGTGAAGGTGGAGGTGGGTGGATGTCATGTCCAGAAACCTCTGCTCCCCAGCGGGGCACTGGAGTTGGAAGTCAAGGCTGCATCTCTTGTCAGGGTCATGGGGCCACCATGCAAGAACAAGGTTTGCTAGGATTTCAAACAGCAGAGCTCCTGATAGTCATGACTGCGTCCTGGGTTCCTCAGTCAGAAAGCATGCACTGCTTCCAGTCACCTTTGTGTGGCTTCCCCTGGGTCTGCCACTCCAGACTCAGCTTTCTTACCTCACTTTTCATGTTCTCAAAAGCAGTCCCTCACACCAGCATCTTCCGGTGCCAATGAGGAGAGAGCTCTGCACTGCACCCCCTGGATGAGGAGGCGTGCTCAGGAGCCCCCTTCTATCAGCCCTGCTGGGTGGCTCCCACCCCTGCCTCTGTGTCCCTACAGGGCTGGGCCTTGCTTCCTCGGTGATCCTATCGCCTGCATTCCAGTCATGCTGCTGATTCCCTCCACCAGGGTGGTTTGCGCACAGGCCCCTCCCTGGGTCCACCTGTGCAGACTCAGTGCCGCCTCCGGACTGGCCATACCACCTGGGGCTGCCAGTACAGGGCAGTTCCCCAAAGCACTGGGGCTTGCCAGGTGTTCTGTGACCCACCCAAGATTCCCTGATAGTGGTTGGACTCAGCCAGGTATCCTGAGTCCCACTCAGCCCCACCTTGGAGCCTTGCTCTCAGCCCCTGCATGTCCTGTTTCAAAGGCTCTGGCAGACATGTGGACCTCATTTTTATACCTCTGGGGCCCTGCACAAGTCTCTGACCCCAGCCCACAAGTCAGGAGACCCTAAGTCTAGGATACATCATACTTCTCAAGGATGTGGCCCACCCTGAGAAGTGGAGGGAGGATGCATCATTGGAGACAGCTGCCCATCCCAGGCCCTGGCCTCAGATTGGGAGATGCCACCTGGCAGGGGCTCTGTTGTGCTCTGGCCTTTGCTGGGGGCAGAGGCTAGACCTGGGCTGTCAAGGGGCAGGACTGCAGGACGGGCACCAGGCAGGAGCGGCACTTCACACCCCTGCCTGGGGGGCTACAGGGACATTGCCAGGGAGGTCTTCCTGGAGGGGAGTTCGGGCATGCCAAAGAACTCAGATTTGCACACATGGTGTTTCACTCCCGCATGCACTATGCAGGGCTTCTCAAGACATAGTTCTTCATGGAATTTCACAGGATATTTCCTGGGAGGAGGGGGGCCCACAGGGTGAGCTGAGGGTTTTACTGGAATGGGTCGAAGGAATTGCTACATTTTCTACCATAGAGAGCACTCACTGGGTGAGATGAGGTTTCAATGGGGGGGCGAGCCCTGGGGGTCACTCTAGGTTAAAGGAAGTCATGAGTACCTGAGGCATCAGGACTTCTAGGACCCCCGTGCAAGTGGTGGAAATGGAAAGGTCTTCTGTTATAACACTGTGGTGTCTCACGGTACATGGGTCTCTGTGGGGCTTGCTGGAGTGGGAGCCATAGGAGACAGTTGGGCGGCAGGGACTCAGGGATCGGGAAGCTCGTTGGGAGTGGGCCTCCAGGGAAAGTCAGCAATCCGAGGGATTACTCGCCCCCAGACCCAAAGACGATGGATCACAAGACTACAGAGGAAGGGGTGGTGGGGCGAGTTTAATTCAGAAAAAAAGCCTCCTGATTGGAAAGGGGCCTAACAGCCTGCCCTTGGAAAGAAGTCCTTCTTTGAGGATAAGGCCTCCCAGGGGAGGAGGCGCTGGGGGCCAGTGTTAGGCTTCAGGCCATCCCTGGAGGCCGGTCCTATGCTCAGCAGGTAGTGGTAGAGCCTGTGGAGAGTGGCAGGCAGGCCATCAGACACAATCCTTACACAGGCACCCCCTCAGCCCACAGAAGCCCGTCTCACCTGGAGTGATGAGTGGGATAGTTTTCCCAAGTACGGGACTAGAGAAAGGACCGCATCAGAGTAGTATCAGGTTAGCCTGGAGGACCTTCTACCCTACATCCCAGACTCTTGCCGCCTGGCCCCAAGAGTGCACCTCCTTGCTCTCCTTCCATGGTCACTTCACACAATACCGAGGTCAGAGCTTTCCCTGACTGGGGCCCTTCAGGGTTGACTATCTGAATAACAAAGCTGGCTGCAAGTCCAGTGAATGGCCAGGACCCTGTCCACTCTCCAGGTCAGGACTGTCCTCCCATAGTTCTGCCCTGAAGGAGGGGCGCACCACAGGGTTGGGCTCACCTGTGCTGCTTCTGGCTGCTCTTGCATTTGCATTTGCTACCTGGGAGGGAGAGAGGGGTCAGTGCCAGGGTCAGTGCTGGAATCAGAGCACTCTCTCTTCCTGCCCCACCCTGTCCGCCAGCCCCACCTGCCCTGCCACTCACTCAGAACTGCCACGATCCCAGCAATGGCCAGGAGCCCTCCGCAGATCAGTCCGCTCAGCTGCAGGTTTTTCCAGTCTGGGGCAGGTACAGAGAGTGTGCTTGCACCAGCCTGGGGCCTCACTCATTCATTCAAAAGACATTCGTGGGCCCCTGCTTGTGCCAGCCGCTGCCATATGCATAAAGATAAGCCAGCAACACAGACATCATTCTGTGTCTGGTGGGGAAACACTAAGAAGAAAAAAGGTGAGGCCAGGCATGGTGGCTCACACCTGTAATCCCAGCACTTTGGGAGGCTGAGGCGGGCGGATGACCTGAGGTCAGAAGTTCGAGACCAGCCTGACCAATATGGTGAAACCCCATCTCTACTAAAAATACAAAAATTAGCTGGGCATGGCAGCAGGCACCTGTAGTCCCACCTACTCAGGAGGCTGAGACAGGAGAATTGCTTGAACCCAGGAGGCGGAGGTTGCAGTGAGCAGAGATCATGCCACTGCACTCCAGCCTGGGCGACAGAGTCAGAATCTGTCTCAAGAAAAAAAAAAAAAGAAGAAGAAGTGGACGTGCGCAAAGAAGGGGCTTTGAAGGATGATCGCCGGGCGCGGTGGCTCAAGCCTGTAATCCCAGCACTTTGGGAGGCCGAGACGGGCGGATCACAAGGTCAGGAGATCGAGACCATCCTGGTTAACACGGTGAAACCCCGTCTCTACTAAAAAAAATACAAAAAACTAGCCGAGCGAGGTGGCGGGCGCCTGTAGTCCCAGCTACTCGGGAGGCTGAGGCAGGAGAATGGCGTAAACCCAGGAGGCGGAGCTTGCAGTGAGCTGAGATCTGGCCACTGCACTCCAGCCTGGGCGACAGAGCTAGACTCCGTCTCAAAAAAAAAAAAAAAAAAAAAAAAAAAAAAAGAAGGATGATCAAGGAAAGCTATCCTGGGGCTGAGGCCCAGGGGAGAGGAAGAGAGGAGAACTGCCTGAGGGCTGCGGACTAGGGAAGGGGAGAGTGAGGGTGAGTGAAGGCAGGAGGGTAAGGGTGTTGTATCAGGGGGCCTAACCGCCCAGACACCAGCCCTTCACCAGGAGCGTTCCTAAGCATCCTGTGGCCACCCTCCCCTTGCTGGAGCAATGCTCTCACAGAGACCAGGTTTAATCCTCCATCCCACTTTGTGTACACTAGGTCCACACCACCCCTCACCAACTTGTCTGGCAAAGAGGTCCAGGATAAGCAAGGGGAGGGTGGGGGTGGGAATATCAGCTCTTACCATAGTAGAAGGGATCATCTTCATTGGCTAGAAAAAGTGGGGGGAAAAGACTTCAGAACCAGAACCAGGAGACAGGATGTGGGTATCAGAGGGGAGATGTGGGCAGAGTGGGCAGGCTGTTTGGGGGCCTCACTCACCAAATGGGTCATTGGCTTCCAAGGCAGTCAGGCCTGTGTGGGAAGAGCAGAGAAAATGGGTGGGAATTCATGACACTGGTGTCCAAGTAAGTCAGGCAGCAGGACCCCAGCCCAGAGGTTGTGGGGTGACCCTGGAGCCACCAGTTCCCTTCCTCACGCCCTCCCCAGCCTCACACAGCCTCAGGGTTTGGCCCCGCCCAAGCCCTGCCTTCCCAGGCTTCCTGATGCTCCTGTGTACCTGCTAACAGGGATGGTTTGTTATGTCTCTGCCCCCTGAAGAAACAGGGAGTGCTTGTCTTTTTTTTTGAGTTGGAACCTCTGTCACCCAGGCTGGAGTGCAATGGTGCAATCCTAGCTCACTGCAGCCTCGACCTCCCAGGCTCAAGTGATCCTCCCACCTTGGCCTCCCAAAGCGCTAGGATTACAGGCCTGAGCCACTGTGCCATCCTGCTTTTGTCTTCAAGCCACAGGTGGTTAATGTTTTCCATGGTTCAATTCCTCTGGAGCTATTAGGACCTTTTTGCAATATTCTCATCCTACCTGTACTGTCATTTCCTTCATGTTTTTCTCTAAATTGTCAGTTTAAATAACTTTGGGAGATGTTGTCTGACTTTTGCTGCCTTTGTGGGTGGGGTGATTGCAAGAGGGTCCCAAGAGACTGGGAGGACTCACCTGCCAGTAGGAGAAGGGCCAGGGTCACTCTCTCCATGTCACAGTTCGAGTGGCAGGACTGCAGGGGGATAGGCACTGGGGCTGGGGTCTGCAGCCCACGGATCTGCTCCAGGCTCACAGCTCGCTTGGTCAACTACAGGGGGCGGGGGCAGGCACAGCCCTGTGGTGAGAGTAGGTGTACAAACCCCAAGGATACACTTGCTTGTGGGGTGATCTTGGGAAAGTGACTACTTTCTGCCTTCCCACCTAGAGATAGTGACGGCCTGGGGGAGTAAGCACGAGCTAAGAGCTCAGAACTGTGCCTGCACAGAGTAAGTGCTGCAGAAGGCGTTGTTAAAATCCATGTGACAAACCCACCCCCTACTCCTCCCTATGAGGAAGGCACTATTATTGTCTCAATTTCAGAGGAGGAAAAAAAAGAAATGGAGCTTAGAGAGGTGTAATCAGATGCCCAGGGTCAGGTGGCTGCTATTCTAAGTCAGGGTCTGGACTTCCTAACCCCACACAAAGGGCATTGTTATCAGGCCCCAGGCTATTGCTCCCAAAGGTCTGGGCCTGGGGTGGCCAGAGTCCAGTGCCCTGAGTCTGAATTCCCAGACAGCCTCCACAAAAGCAAGGGTGCAGAGGAGGAAGGAAGCGCTGAATCCTGGGATGAGGTGACTACAGCAGCCAGGACCTCCCCTGCCAGCCCTGGCAGGGGACCCTGCCCCAGCAGCCCCAGATTCTGCTCTCAGAGTATAGACCTCCTGTGGTATGACATTTCTCCCTCAGGTTGGAAGTAGCCAGGACCCCATTTACTTGTCCTTGGGGAGGCTGAGTCTTTGAGCGCAGGGCCCCTCCCAGCCCTCTGCATATTGTTAGCCTAGTGTGGTCAAGTCTTCAATACTGAAGCCATTGTTATCATCTGCTGTACCCAGCTCTGGCCTCCTGATGAGATCACAGATCCAGGGCCAGCTGTCTGGGCTGGGTCGATTCTCAGCAACTTACCAACGGTGTGACTCTGCAGGTTCCTCACTGCTCCTTCACCAGTGTCCTGTAAAAGGAGGATCATCAGAATAGTAGCAACTTCATAAGGTTATAGCAATGGAATTACATGAACTACTATTTGCAAAGCCTAAGAACCATGCCTAGCACACAGTAAGCACTAAAAACCTGTTACAATAAATACATCCATAGGTTGGGCGCAGTGACTCACACCTATAATCCCAGCACTTTGGGGCTGAGGCGGGTGGATCACCTGAGGTCAGGAGTTCAAGATCAGCCTGGCCAACATGGCAAAACCCTGTCTATACTAAAAATACAAAAATTAGCCAGGTGTAGTGACAGGTGCCTGTATTCCCAGCTTCTTGGGAAGCTGAGGCCGAAGAATCACTTGAACCTGGAAGGTGGAGGTTGCAGTGAGCTGAGATCGTGCCAGTGCACTCCAGCCTGGGCAACAGAGTGAGACTCCATCTAAAAATAAATAAATAAATAGATACATCCATAAATAAACTGCTCCTTCTGCAGCGGGAGGGAGGCACTGGAGGGAGAGACTCTTAGACACTGCTTCTGAACATGGGTTATTGGGCTAGGAGCAGTCTCCAAAGCTGACTTCCCCGAGCCTTCACTGGTCTCTCTCTACCTTCACCAACAAGAGTTCCTGGAATATGAGGGTCTCAACTCTAGGCCACATTTTTTATTTTTTTATTTTTATTATTATTATTTGTTTGAGACAGGGTCTTGCTCTGTTACCCAGGAAGGCAGCAGTGGCATGATCTCGGCTCACTGCAGCCTTGAACTCTCTTGGCTCAGGTGATCTCCTCACCTGAGTATCTCAAGCAGTTGGGACCACAGGTGCACCCCACCAGTTCATATATTCTTTAACCAAGGGCTGGCTTCTGTTTCCTCCAGCCCCCAACCCACCATCCATATGACAGTAGGTGCAAAGCAAGAGGCCTTCAAGCGTCTACTGCAGCCATATCTGCCCTCAGACACCTCAACAGGCTTGTCATTACTCAGAATTCTTGGGCACCCACCCCCTTCACCCAGCAGCCCCGAAGTGGACGCCTGGTCACCTGCGAGGTCACCTGGGTGAGGACTCACCTGAGCTGGCAGCGCAGAGAATGGATCTGAGGAGGTTGCTGGGCTGTGGAGGCCCAGGCCGGTGGGTCAGCTCTTTAAACCCTGCAGCCACGCCCAGGGCTCCATGACGCAGGCTGGAGGGAAATGGTCAGGCTTCCTGAGACTCAGCCTGACCGACCTGCCACACCCAGGGCTGTTGGGGAGGGGTGGGCTGGGCCGAAGACCCTCTTTTGGCTTCTCCTTTTTCTTTTTTTTTTTTTTTGAGATGGAGTCTCACTCTGTCTACCAGGCTGGAGTGCAGTGGTGTGATCTCAGCTCACTGCAACCTCCACCTCCCGGGTTCAAGCAATTCTCCTGCCTCAGGCTCCGAGTAGCTGGGACTACAGGTGCACGCCACCACGTCTGGCTAATTTTTTTTGTATTTTAGTAGAGATGGGGTTTCACCGTGTTGCCCAGGCTGGTCTCGAACTCCCAAGCTCAGGCAGTCTGCCCACCTCGGCCTCCCAAAGTGCTAGGATTACAGGCATAAGCCACCACGCCCAGGCTTTCTTTTGGCTTCTTTAGCTCACCCAGATCCTAAAAGAGGGACCCGGAGGGTGCTGGGCAGGGTGTTTCTGGGCTCTTGTGCCAGCTGTGGGGGTTCTGGGACCTCTGTGTGGGGGTGTCCTGGGGACCGCGGAGGATACCAGGAGCCAGGCACTGACCTGCAGGCTCCCTGTGCTCAGTGGTGCCACTGCTGTCACTTGGGCTGGATGTCTACTGAAGGGAGGCTGGTGGCTGGTGGGCACCCCTGGGGGTGGCTCACCCTCTGACAGGGCCCTGACACCCACTTAGCCTCCCCCATAGGAGAGGGATGGGTCCAGGAGGAGGATAGCCGGCCCCGAATAAGGAGTGGGCTACCTCCCTCTGCAGACCTCAGGCCTGCCTTGTTGCTGGGGGCCAAACACACCCCGCACAGGCATGTGGAGGACCCAGGCCTCCCTAGTCTGCTGTTACCCCTCCCTAATTCTTTTCCAAATGAGGGACACTTGTCCCTGTCCAGAAGGTAAGGGGGGATGGCTGACAAGGGATGGGGGTCTCTGGGCTGGGAGGGCTAGGGAGGGCAGTGACGGTTTAGATGGTTTATTTATTAATTTATGAGCTGGAGTCTCGCTCTGTCGCCCAAGCTGGAGTGCAGTGGCTCAATCTTGGCACACCACAATCTCCACCTCCCAGATTCAAGCAATTCTGTCTCGGTCTCCCGAGTAGCTGGGATTATGGGCACACACCACTGTGCCCAGCTAATTTTTGTATTTTTAGTACAGACAGGATTTTGCTATGTTGAGCAGGCTGGTCTCGAACTCCTGACCTCAGGTGATCCACCCGCCTGGGCCTCCCAAAGTGCTGGGATTATAGGCGTGAGCCACTGTGTCTGGCCCAGACATACTTTTAAGTAGAAAAAAAGTATAGGGCATTCTGAATAGGATGCTGTCACTTGTGTAAAAATATAAAATATTGGCTGGGAATGGGGGCTCAGGCCTGTAATCCCAGCACTTTGGGAGGCTGAGGCGGGCCTGTGTCTCTGTGTGTACACTGCATGGGGCTTAGCACAGAGGAGGGGTCCAGGTGTTTCCTCGGCCAGCTGTTTACTTGAGCTTATTGCACTTAGCCCTCACAGAAGTCCTTGGAGGTATATACTCTCATTAGCCTGTCAATCTACAATAGTCAAACAGGTCAGATTTTAGTTTTAAAGGAGTTTATTTAAGTGTAAAGGTTAAGGATGGTCTGCTCAGGAAGTATGAATTGTAGAGAATGGAAGTCATGGCTGGGCGCGGTGGCTCACACCTGTGATCCCAGCACTTTGGGAGGCCAAGGCAGGCAGAACATGAGGTCAGGAGTTCAAGACCAGCCTGGCCAACATGGTGAAACCCCATCTCTACTAAAAATACAAAAATTAGCCAGGCGTGGTGGTGCACTCCTGTAGTCCCAGCTACTTGGGAAACTGAGGCAGGAGAATCACTTGAACCTGGGAGGTGGAGGTTGTAGTGAGCTGAGATGGTGCCACTGCACTCCAGCCTCGGTGACAGAGTGAGACTCCATCTCAAAAAAGAAAAAAAAAAAAAGAAAAGAATGGAAGTCAGAGTTTTAAAGTCTTGGCGAGGTGTGGGGGTTCAATCCTGACACTCTGGGAGGCCAAGGCGGGCAGATCGCTTGAGCCCAGGAGTTTGAGACCAGCTTGGGCAACACAGCGAGAACCCATCTCTACAAAAAAACAGAACAAACAGTCTGGCGGTGTGGCACACACCTATACCCCAGCGGAGGTGAGAGGACCGCCTGAGCATGGAGGTCAAGGCTGCAGTGAGCCCAGGAAGCACCACCGCACTCCAACCTGGGCGACAGAGGGAAATCCTGTCTCACAATAAATAAGTAAAGTGTAAAAGTTTGGGATCATTTATTTTATTTTTATTTTTTTGAAGGAAAATTTGTATTTTAATTATTTTTATGTACAGAAAACTCAACAGTGTACATTTAACTCAGCTTAGTGGCAAGTTCTTTAGCCTTTGCCTTTTCGAGCTTGGCGATACCGCCCTCTGAGTAGCTGATTTTTTTTTTTTTTTTTTTCAGATTACAGGCCTGAGCCTCCACGCTCAGCTAATTTTTTGTATTTTTAGTAGAGACAGGGTTTCACTATGTTGGCCAGGCCCTGGTCTTAAACTCGTAACCTCAAGTGAGCCACCTGGCTCAGACTCGAAAGTGCTGGATTACAGCATATAGCCACTGTGCCCGGGCCTAGGATCATTTATATAGACACAGTTTAGGAAAGTTTATAGACTTTAACTGTTTTTTTTTTTTTTTTTTTTTTTGTCTTTTTTGAGGACAGCGGTCTCCCTCTGCTCACCCAGGCTGAAGCACAGTGACACAGTCATGGCTCTCTGTAGCCTTGACCTTCTGGGCACAAGCAATTCTCCTGCCTCACCATCCTGAGCAGCTGGGACTTACAGGTGCCA